GAGAAGAAGAGGAGTTAAGAAATGTGAGTCCTAGCCTAAATCCCCTCCTATCTCAGCAGTAACTTCAACAGTGCTTTTTCAGCTTCTTTTCTTCCTCCAAACTAGTACTCTGTGCCCAGCTCTGACTTTCCCAAAGTTGCTGCCTGTGCCGTGGGTGGGTATGTCAGGGCGGGTGCCCCTTCTGTTCCAGCTTTCTGACTGCATCAGGGGATGTGAGGCCATAAAGCAAGGGCGGTAACCACAACTCTCCTGCGGCCCAGCCTAGCTATGACATGCTTTGCTGAGAGTTACTTTGCAAGTGAAGTTCAGGCCAGGGGCCCTACAGGATTGATCTGTGCTACCAAAATGTTGACCCTCTCTCTGAGGCACCTGATGGTTTCTCCCTGTTAACTCTGAGAGGTCAGGCCATGCCTGATTGCCCATACCCTCCACTCCCTCCACCTTCTTCACAGCAAGTGGGCTGCTTGCTTTGGAGAAGGAAGGGACTTTCCACTGGGCTGGGCTGTCAGGTCTCTGCATACACTTTGGCTTGCTGTATATTCCCTTTGCACTTACCAATGTAAGCTGAAACTTCCTGCTCCTCCTGTCTGCAGAAACGAGGACAGCTTTCTGGCTCCTTGCAGCAAGATAAAGGAGCCATGCCCCAGCTCCACATGCCAAGGGAGGGCTCTGGTTGTGAGGAACAACATGACTCTTGTTTTTCTTGTGTCTCCAAAGCACAACAACTCTCCCAGTGTCACATTTAATGTTCTACCTCATTCAAGAGTCAAAACAAAAACATGTTCTAGGCAATGCTAAGATATGGAACTGAGCTAGGGCTACAAGGGTTGCTCAGCTCTTGCAAGGTGAATCCCCAGCTGCTGCTTGTGGCCTGTTCCCTTCTTGGTTTTGTAGCAACAGGAGATGTGTGCAGGACGGTCATCTGCCCTTGGTGCGTGGGGCCTGGAAGTAGAGAAGGCTGCTATACTGTGTAGCTGCAAGAGTATGAGAAGGGGGGCTGCAATAATCTTGTACTCCCTGTATTCACAAGGCATGTTGGTTTCTCAGCAGAATTGTGATCCCACGGCACTGGCAGAAAGAAAAAAAAAAGCAAGTAAAAAAAGTAAAGATCAATTCTGCACTTGGCTACTGAAAAAAGGGGCTAAATTCCTTCCTCTTCTTAGTGAGGAAAATATTCTAGACAGTCCTTCCAGTGTAAGTAGGGAGACCACTCTATAGGGCTGTGAGAAGCATACTCATGTCCTGCGTGGTCGTCTAACACAACCACAAGCTGTCTGCAAATGGTATTACAAAGGCTGTGAATTTTCAGTAAATTTCCATTTTGAAAAATAAGTTTCTGAGGGTTCAGAAATGTGTAGACTGAATACCATACTTGAGAACTTTCGTGGAATTTTGAAAAGCTGAGATGGGCGGAATGGTATTTGCCAGCTAGGCAGGAAATCAGCTTTGCCAAAACAAATAAAAATTTTCAACATAATTAAAAAAAAAAAAAAAAAAACCTGTCCTGACTCCCAGCAGCAAACTGAAAAGCACAAGATCAGGTTTACAGGCAGTTAAACCATTTCATTTTTCTAGAATTAGCTTTTTAAGGTATTTTAAATACAATGAATGGACATTTAAGTAATCTTCTTTAAGAAGGGAGCTGAGACATCTGAAAATGCCGTATCTCTTTGAATAAGTTCCAGCACAGCAGTTTGCTGAGTCCATCTCTCCATGTCTATAATTTCTCATTGGTGATAAGTGGTGACTCCGCACAACATGTGGGAGCCTTTTTTGCACTGAACACAGCTTTATGTCACAGATTTATGTCCTTTGCTCACATTCCCATGATAGCAAACTGAGGGACCTAACCAACCCCACTCTCCCTGAAGCATAGCCCAACATCAGAAAAACAAATTGGCATTCGAGAACTTGTGAGTTTCTCTGTACCTGCCAAACTGAGGTTAGATCCTGTCCACAGCCTCACTCCCCTACAAAAATAGTCCCACATTCCCTCATGTGTGTGTGAACAAATGTTCATGCTGCCACGTAGGTAGCAGCCACCTTTCCTCTTCAACGGGAGAAATCAGCCTTGTATGCTTTTCTCATGGTTCTACCTGCATAAACCCTGTGGTCCTGCCTGCAAAGGCTAGCTTTATTCCTTGCTCCAGATGGCTAGTCATTTTGCCTTCCAAATTTAGTTTGATTAGACATAAGAGAAATTTGGTGCTTTTCCTTGAAAAGAGGAAAAGAAGCACATGATAAAGTGTGGGTCATGTGCAGTGATTCAGTGTGCACCAAAGAACAATTAACAGATCATTTCCTTTGTGCAGCAAGAGATCTCCTTCCCATGCTCTGCCATTATCACTGGTCAGTTTAGTTTAAACCCCAAAATTCTTGTAATCTCTTGAAGAAGCCTAGCTTCAGTGCACAGGTGTCAGGCATCAGAAATAACTCTTGGTATAGCCAGACACCTTAGGGAGATGTCAGTGCCTCTGTCATATTAGAAATACTGCCTTGGCTCTACCAGCACAACTGATCCAACATCCACCATACAGCTCATCTGCTTTCAACAAGGCAAGATAACTAATGACAAACTCACCTTCTGCCTGATAAATGCTATTGCAACATTTTGTCAAGGAAGGAAATATTGATGCTATGTGGACACAGCCCAGAAGACTGGAAAGAAAGAAAGAAACAGCAAGTCTTGCTTCAGAATTTCTCTCCTTGACAAGGGACTTTGAGCTTTTGAAGTATTAAAACATAAATCTGTGATACATATTTCTCTCAAAGTTGTGACATTTATTACAAATTCACTGTTGATGTACTCAAAGTGAGGCATGAAAGATTTTGCTGGCTCTTCATTTCTGGGAAGACAGGTGGGTTTTCAGGGTACCCAGCTATATGGACTCAGACCTACAGAGGAGAGAAAAGCTCTGGTAGCAATTCAAGTTTAAAATGGAGAGCTTTCATCTCAGCTTAAGTTGGAAAGCATTTTTTTGGAACTCAAGGATTTTTTTAGTTTCTATCGATTCTGATCACCTTCTTACAATACCAGTCTGTCTTGACTTGTTTCTACAAAGGACATGGCCAAACAAAACTAACCCACAGTAGTGATCCCAACTTTTAGGGACAGTTTAAAAAAAAAAAATTCTTAAATTGTTGTTAAAACTGCAACAATTTCACGAATCACTCCTTCAAAATTGTCTTTCCCAGACAATACTACTCTGCTAAAAACATTCTAGCCAGCTCTCCTCAGTGGTAAAGAAAAATATCAAAAAGCCAAAGGCCACTTACTTCCGTTCTTGGCTAGCCAATGCACAGTGACATTCAGGTTTCCCACTACAAAAGTGTCCTGACAGAAACCAAGTGTAATGATTTGATTCAGAAGCAGAACTGATTTGTAAAGATAAGTGTAATTCTTTGGTTTCAGACATAATTTTAACACAAAGGTATTAGGAATCATAGTTCAACAGAGAAGCTGATGACTGAAATCTAGAAAAGCAGGGCATGATACTACTATGTAATTTTTGAGGCAAAAAGCTTTCTCTCTCCATGGCTTTACATGACTGCCTTTTCCCACCCTTTTTTTTTTCATCCATCCTGTCATTTCCCACCCTTTTTGTTTTCCTCTTTGGAAAGGAAGTAAGTAGTACATGAAAGGGCTGGTTATGTGTATCTGTAGAATCCAGTGCAGCAATAACAGAATTCTGTAGGAGACTTCCAGTGAAACAGCACAAGTCATGTTTGCATGATCTCATAAATTCTTCACTGGACTTGGATGGATGTGTAAGCTCCTGGAGAAATCCCAGCTCCATTGCTAATATGTTTTGGTCAAATCACACAACATGTTCACTTCATTTTAGAGACAAACTTCTTGTGTCACTATTTACACCTCTGCAAATTCAAAGTCTTCACTGTTTTTCTTACTGCAGACACCAATCCAAACATGCTTTGGTAGTTTGGGTATGATCACAACCTGCTGTGCCAAGATTGCTTGTGTTTGCCATTACAAGGGCGAAAACTGTCCCCAGATGTCATCCATCACCCATTTTATGACTGCAGAATGAAAGGAATGGAGGCAGTCTTTCAGTCTGCTGTTTCTCTCTTCCAAAAGATTGGAACAAGGGTCACTGAGGGAAACAGTCTGCAGTCCCAAGCAGGTTCAGCTTTAGTGGTAGAGGTTCTGCCATCCACACTCCACCTGTGTGACAACTGTAGTGCTGGCCTTAACCCACAACAGAGAGGGCTACCTTTTTTTCCCCTTACTGAGAAACATTTAGGAGGGCATTTCACCTTGCTGGTAAAAGTCCTTTCCCTCCCCTTCAAGACTGAAAAAAGAACAAAATTGCCAGGGAGGAAGAGAGGAGGTATGGAGGGCAGGAGCAGAAGGGCAGAGTCCAGCTATTCTCTGACATCTCCTTAAACCCCTGCACTCATGCCCAGGATGTGGCACTGTCTTCAGTGAGATAGTGCACAGAGGCAATCTCAGTGTATTAACAGGAGTGGGTTTCTGTCTGAGCGATATGAAGAAGTACAAGGGAAAGCTGGCACTATGCTCCCTTCTCCTGCAGAGCGCGATCCTACTAGGGCAAGGTCACCCCAGCTTTCCATTCAGTTAGCCCTGGGAACATGACAGAGATTGTTTGGCTCTTATCACAGTCAAAAAGGAATTTCCGCCCTGTGCATAAAAAAGAAATGCCTTGTGCAGAGTCAATTTATTTGTGGTTTAAACAACTAGCCTCTGAGAAATGTTGCCCACTGAACAGACAATTCACACCATCCCAGGAGCCTGATGTGGAGCCTCAAATATACACTGTGGTACTGTTTGAAGGGGGAAGATTCAACTAACTATACAGGCAACCACTGCATTTTTTCCTAAAGTACCAAATCCTGGAGTCACATCATCTGACTTGCTCCTTACTAATGAAAAATTACTGTTATGTTTTTCATGGCTGCAGAGAAATCTCACCAAAAAAAAAAAAAGATTGAACTGAAAATACTTTTCAAAGCAAAGGATCAAAAATTGCTGTTTTTATTTTTTTTTCTTTTTCTGAGAATTTTTAAATACTCGGGTATCAAAGATGTCCAGTTTTGACCAGTTTCTTCTTAGTAGGAACTGAATGTTCACTACCACAAGGAAAATTTGTAAACAAACTCACATTGCATAGACAGTGGTTTCTAAGCTGCATTTAGTGGAACCCTTTCAGCAGAACACGAGTACAATGCACAGATAAGAATGGACTTCTGAGGGTAAATGGATGTTTCTTCTTCAGTTCCTTTTCTGAATCACAGACTGCAATCCATGTAGAAGCGTTCTACATTACAGTATTCTGTAGCACATAGTATCTGGGTTAATTATCAGTAAGTAAATTTCTTAGAGAATCTGACATGCACAAAGATCCTAATACTTAAAATCCTTAGCTGACTTATTCCCTGTCTCATCCCATGGTGCAAGGGACTTCCAGACTTCCCATTAGACTATTAGACTATTTGAATACACATTGGTATGGTGTTAATGATGCAGCAGTGTGCATCATTACCAGCACTAGGGGGACAACGCTTAGCTTCTGACATTGCTGCAAGGCTGTAAAACTCCTGTGGGATGTGCACTGCAGGAGCATAGATCATTTCCTAAAGGAGCTCCTTTCCCGGACCCAGCAGTGGCAGTAGAGCTGGTGATAGCTTCTGCATGACCTACAGCATTATCTCCCTTACATCTCAGAATCTCAACAAGCAGAACTCTCCTGGGACTGCTTCCTCGCAGAGCAGTCAAGAGGCAAGTAAACCTGTTCTACCAGTAGAGTTCTGCAGCACTCTGTGCCAACAAGCACAATGGTTCACAAATTTTAATGACACCAACAGTTCCTGGTTGCTAGATACGAAAGCAGTGTTTATAGAATCACAGAATCATAGGTCTGGGATTTGACTACAGGAGGAGGGAGATAAGGCCTGTGTGGATATCCTGGCTGTGTCCTGCAAGTCTCTACATTTTCTGCAAACAGCCTTAGCCACTGGAATTTTCTCTGGCCTCCCTCTATCATGTTCCGTGTCTTCATCTCCTGAGGACTGCAAATCCTGTGGGACAGAGGCATAGGTTTGGGTTGGTTGGTTACATGTACATAACTTTTTCCACTGCTGAGAGAGAGCTTTCAGCATGACATCATCCTCCCTGAATATATAGAAACTAGAATATAGCTGAAGAAGCCAAATTTGTCAGGCAGGGTTTTAGCAGCTGTTCCCAGAAGGAGCTTGTGAACGTTTTTTTAAGCCCCAGCTGAAGAGCAGAGTGAAACAAAAAGAACTAACTGAAAAATTTTTGCTAAAAAAGGAAAAGATTTCAGTGAAACAAATCATTTGCTCAAATGCAAATCTAGTCTTTGAGAAAGACTTTTTTTTTTTTTCCTGTCAGGTATTCATGGCTTTAAAAAAAAATCCATTTACATTTTAGATCACTTTTTTAATTCACCTGAATCTTGAACAAATCAAAGTTAGATAAACAAGCTTTTTAAGGACCTCAGGTATAACAAGGTGGAAATTTTTATTTGGTGAATATTCTGTCACTTTAAATGAAAATAAACTTCAGCTTGGCCACCATATTAAAATAAAAATTGCAGATGATTCGTGAGGATGAGTTAGCATTCACTGTGAAATACTCAGTTTCTAGTAATATTCATAAATCCTCAGTCCACTAAAAGTTTGGTCCTACAGGTGCACAAGCTGAAAAGAAACTGTTTGCTCAGAGATTAGGACTCCATCCTGCTATCACCCAAAAATATTATTGGAACCTCAAATGAGCTGGGAGTCTGTAGTGGAGGTCTATGTGAAAAAGGAAGATAGTCCCAGTAAAAAAAAAAAGCTCATCAAATGGCAAACCAAAAACACAGGAGCAGATGAAAAAAAAAGGAAAGCACAGGCCCTGGAGATAAAATGAGCCTGAAAACCCAGCCTCAGCCTGAATTCTTCACCAAGATGCAATTCAGCCATCTTGGGAAGCAAGCAACATTTGTATCTGCGTCTGGGTTGTACCAGTCTGGACAGCCAGCCTACTGTTGCACATGGCCCTTATCCTTGCTCTCATCAGCACAAATGAGGAGCTGACAGCCTGCTGCCCATCACCCAGCACCAGCATGGGAAACAAGGAAAGACTGCTGCTCACACAGTTGGGCTGGCAGCTGAAATTACAGTGCCTGTCCAGCTGAGGCCTGAACACCATCTCACCTCTCTGCATTGTCAGCAAAGCTGACAGAAAGCCAAAAAGACGTGTTCAGTACCGGACATTACACATAAACTTTTAAACAAATATTTGCACAGAAATATTGACCTTTAAATACCAGTTAGAACTGGTTTGCATTGAAAATTCATCTGCATGACTGCCATCGATTCAATACCTATTACTTGTGTGAAACAGAAGGTGTCCTCAGACTGCATTGTATTTATTTTTAACTCACTGAGTACAGTAATTGTCTACTGAGAGCTAGTGGTCATAGGAGTGGAAAGATTGCCTTCAGTGACAGCTGCAGTCAGAGCCATTTATTAAATGCTCCAGCGCGTGGGAGCAGTACGGCCTGGTGAACACAGCAGTGTTGTAGCACCTTGCCCAGAGGTGGAAGCAGACCATACAAAATGCAGCATCTGCAGATCCTTCTGCACTATTTCTACACAGCTACTCACTGTCTCCATTGCTGCCTGCAGAAGAGCTGTGACTTTTCCTGCCAAGCCACACATTACTTCATTTTCCCATCCTCACCTAGCCTATCCACTCGATGGTCTCTGGTATAAGGTCTGTTTGCTGTCTGAAGTAGGAGCTATGCCTTAAACTTTCTGTATGTCTTGCATTATAGGGATCAACATCTTTGGAAACATCCTATTAGTAAAACCTAGAATGAACAGCAAATGTACACATCTACAAGTGGGAATAGTCAAAGCAGAGAAGATGGACACAAGTAAATATCTGAAAAGAAAATCAAGAAAATCAAGGAGGAGAAAACTATTGCATTGGTGTCTTACAGTTTTTAGCACATACTTAATTCTAAGCAAGCAAACGTTTACAGAAATTTCAGTAGTATTTTGCATGAAGCACTCTGTTTTGCTAAAAGAGAAAGTGCAAAAATTCTCCTTTGCCCACTGGGACAGGAATTTCCCCATCATTTATGTCCAAGTAAAGAAGAGAAATAAAACTACGGAAAAATACACTGAAGAACAGATTGAAATTTCAGCTGGCTTCAGTGAGGAGCTCTCACTGGAAGCAGTGACTGTTGTTAAATGGCGTCTTCTGACTTGAAACTCTAGACAACTTTTCTTCTGAAGTCAGTTCCTGTTTGCTAGCAAAGTTTGCTCAGGAGAGCTGAGGTCCCCACATATCTCCACAGTCCATCACTTCTTTGCTCAGCAGCTGTTCTGGAAACAGAAAAAACTCAGGTCTTATAGCTGTCATCAGTGTTTCTCAGTCAAAGTCCTGCAATCCCTGTAACCAATACTAAGTATATCACTGCATCTTTCCTGTTGTGCAGCGCTTGCGAATGAAGTTGGAACGAAGCCTTGGTCTGGCAGATTAAAGGAGCACTGTTAGAAAAAATGCTAGAGTCAGGACACCATCAACAAAACAGCGAGCAAAACAGCGCGTGGGCTCAGGGATGGTACCTCTGATTAAGCCAAGTTGAGGGAGTTGGTAACAAGGGCAGGAACATAATAATGTCCGTTCCAGAATGGCATCTGGAACCAAAACTTTTTGTGAATGTAACCATGGAAACACAATTACAAGCACTGCTAATACTAGCATGTATAAAAATACACTGATCTAAACAACAAATGAGTCATTCCGCATCTTAACCATACTGGTGTATGGTGTTATGGTATGATTTCCAAGTGCACCAGGAAACTCCAGAGGAACTCTCCATGAGCTGCACTCCTCAGCAGGCTAGACACTGAACCTCACCATTTTTGATACTGATAGAGCTGCTGCCCCTCTGGGACAGATATTTCCATATCAGAAGTATCTGTCAGAGGTACAAAGTCCAGTATGTGGGTTCTTGTTTTATCTTGAAGGTTAACATTTATTTCATTTGGCAACACATAAGCAGGAAATGAAGATTACTCACCCAGAAACGTGAGCAGAATAGAACCACAGAAGTGCCAGCTACAATCAGAGTAATGTATTAATTTACTTATTTATTTATTTTTCCACAGTTGAGTCCCTTTAGGTCTCACCGCTCCACTTGCCTTTGAAGAGCATGTTCTCACCTGTCAGTCCCAAAGTCTACAAGTTCATTTTATTGCTTCTTGAAAGTCAAAATTTTGACAAAGGGACAGGGACAAAAACTTAGTTAGGTGTCACGAGACTGGTACTTTGGTTGTTAATACTGACAATATTGTATTTCTTGGTGATGATCCTGGGAAGCAGTCCCCAGCCAAATTCAACACAAACTTCTCAAAGTTGAAAGATTCAGTCAGATTTAGATGAAGGTCTGTTTTCCTTGCCTTCTTCTCCTTAAGTACTCCCTTGTTCTTTCAGCTGCAAATATGCAGATATTCAGGATATCTGTCTCCTCTGAAAATCTTCTTAGATTACAGAGTCCTTGGCTTTTTAGGAAATATGTTTTTGCCTCTCCTCGCAAAAAGAATCTGGACCCAAATGGACTGTAAGAAGCAAAAGGGTGAAGGGAGAATCACAGGTAGATTATTATTTTCATTTCTTATTTCCCAAAAAGGTAATGGAGGATTTTGACACCATGCATTTTCAGTTCATTTCTGGAGAGAAAACCCCTCCTAATCTTTGTTAGAGAATGTAATATTCCCCTGACTTTTCCTGAAAGATGCACTGGAAAAGAAACAGGTTAAAGAACAAATATAACACACCTTGGTTAATGTACCAATTGACTAACAACAGACATTTGGTACGTGCCAGCTAGGTTTCTGCTGAAAATGAAAACTGAGTCACTTTCTGTTGAAACTTTTAGAACAAATAAAACTGAGGTCCCTGGAGACCAGGTAAATAAAACATAAAGAGAAAGGAAGTTTCTGCTGCCAGTTGATTTAGGAGTTGGAAGGGAATTAAATCCCTACAGTCTTGAAGAAGCAGCATTCTTTTGTTTCTGACAAAAAGCTAGTATATCCTGCTCACATACTCAAAATTAATCACCTAGCCAAGTATGAGTTCAGGAGCATATTATTTTCCATCTGAAATTGAGACAGTCTGTCAGGACTTGGACGCAGGATGGGGCAGAGGGGTAGATGTGGCATCTCCTGCGGAAGAGTAGGGAACAGTTCTTTCTTTGCAATTTTCTGGGAGTTTTATTTATCTCAGGTTTTATTCAATTCATCTTGCATTGCCTTGAATGTTGGAAATAGTTACTACGTAGGTTGCTATGAAAGTAATGTCTCCTATTTGTCTCCATAGAAAATACAATACGTGCAAAGAGCATAATGACAGTATTCAACAGAGAAAATTCTCAGCTACTAAACACTATTTTTCAACATAGCCACCACCATGAGCTCTGCATTTTTGATGGCGATGAACAAGAGCCTTCATGCCACATTTGTAATACTCTACACCAGCAGAGGTGACCCACTGTCATCGTTTACACTGCTGAAATGCACCACCCACCACCTTACTGTGCTCACATTTGTCTCTATAAATGTTCCCCAAGCATCAATGAATATCAATAGGTATCATTTTTTTCCACATGGAGAAATTCAAAGACACACCTTTGTTTCATATGCGTTTCCATGTCAGACACCATTCTGCGTCACAGCAGGAAAGTATGATGGGATGTCAGTGGGAAAGTTCTACCTCTACTGCCGTGCCACGAACATCTGCCTCAGACATTGTGGGCTGGCATCATAAGGGAGGAGACATTTTCTGCACAGCCCTCATAATTTTTTTATGTTTATGGAAGTGTTTACAGCTATATAATATTGCCAGTAATCCTAAAGTTAATGATATCACCTGACCATACATTCTTCCCTATGAACACAGCAATAAAATTGTATGAATAAGGGAATGTTATGCACATACCAGTCTGTGGATTTCCAAAACCACACCCTACAGTCATCATCAAATGCCTGCAGTGGAGAAAGCCTAAAGACTGAGAAAGCACAGAATTAAAGTCATAAGGTGTTTGAATGTAATAGCTTCTAAAGACCCTTGGAAAAGAGAAGCCATACAACAACAGTCAGCAAAGTAGCAACGTACGGGTGTACTTCCTACCAATTTCAACATCATGCAGTAAATTTTGAAAGATTTATTCATTCTTTGAATCTTTCAAGAGCATATGGATGGGTGTCACAGTAATCTGGTGTTAAATGTATGTCTAAACTGACTGGATATGTAGAGGAACAGTCACTTACGTGGCAGTGTTGAATATCCTTGGTCTGAAGGAGAAGGTCACCCTATCACCTGCTGCCAGGGCGGTGTATCTACTATAGTCTTGCCCTTAGAATTGGTATTTCCTGCATGTTTGAAGCAGGTTTGTGCTATTTTTGACTTCTTTTTATCTGTGGTTTGGTTTTTTTTGTTTTGTTTGTTTGTTTGTTTGTTTGTTTTTTGGGAGGGGTTGGGGTTTTTTGTTTTGTTTTTTTTTTTGGTTGGTTGGTTGGGTTTGGTTTGTTTGTTTGTTTGTTTGTTTTGAGAAGGGAAAGACTGGCCTATGTTGGGTTTTACATGTTGTTGATTTCAGCCAAATACCAGTATTGTCAAGCTTGTAGAGTGTTAAGCACACCATTCTCACAGAAATATTAAACCTATCTCCCCTGAATGCATTTTGGCATACAACAAAGCCATGATTGCCCTTCACTGCTCTGTTATCAGAACCATGTGCCCTTGAGCTTTGCAACTGTAACAGGGCCCTGAGAGCAGCCATTCATACAAGGGAGTAAAAGCAGCCCCTCTTCTCTTGCCGTTTGACTGGATGCAGAGTGCACAGCAGCAGCCTGCCTAGCAGTACACACGGGACAGAGCTGGGGTCTGTCGTGAGAACTGATCCTCTTTGTTATAACAGCTACATAACCTCAAGGGAAGAAGGAAGCAGAAGTGCCTCTCACCATGCGCTGCCTCCTGCGTGCCACTGCTGCAAGTGTTCTGACATAGACAAAGAGAGAAGGTCATCTCAGAGTACTACCAGTCCCCCAGGCAGATTTAATGCCTGCCATCAGGGCTGCAAACCAGAACGACTTTATTTTTAGAGTTTTTTAAAGTCTTTGAGTTCTCTGCTTTAGGACAAAGCTGAGCACCTTAACAAGACCTTCTCCAGATGCTCTGTAGCCCCTGCAGGGGGAAGGTCTTGGCTGAATCCTAGAGGGCTAGGTGCTAGAGCTAAGAGGGCTCCTGGAAACTAAACAACTTCTGAGACATATCTGAAAGTGGTGTCTCTACATTTGAAATGCTGAAGTAGCTTTAAAAAGTTGCCCTCTCCAGACAAAACTCAGCAAGAGCTATCTACTAAAAATGGCTTTCAGAACTAGGCTGAGGAAAAATAATTCATGCATGTGTTTTAGCACATCTGCCTTTTGTTGCGAATAATTTATTCAAATTAAACCTTTCAATCTGAAATATTTTATTCTACTCTCATATGCAATTTATCTATTTTTTTTCCTTTACGAAACACTTCAGTTTGGCTATTTTAGACTAATTGAAATATGGAGGAAAAAGTATTTTTAAAGCCTTTCAGATATCAGAAGCAAAAAATACCTGAAGTTCAAACAAACAAATAAACAAAAACAAAAATTAATATATATATATATATACTTTTCAGTATATTTAATTCCAAGAGTGCTTGAAACTTGTGCACTCCACATATGCTTTCTTATCCTTTCTGAAAGGATGCGCATCTATGACATTTATAAAGACAAACACCTTGGGACACTGCAAAGGGAATGTAGTTCTGTTGGATTGTAGATCAATACATTTCAGGTGAAACGTATTTCAGATTTTTACTGAAACTCTCCTGACAGAACTAGGCCTTCTGTTTTTGGGACTGATCTAATAGAAAAACTTGAAAATAACACTGTCCTGTCAATCGTAGTTTGTGCCAGGAAGCAGAAATCAAATACAGATCTAAATTTTTCCACAGAGAAGAATCCAGTAAAAAGGTTCCAGTAGATTTTTGTTTCAGTCTAGCTACTGGTCAGGAAGCAAGAGATGGCAGATTGAAAGTCTGTGTGCCTACAGAGTATTTTAGTAGAATCCCGAAAACATTCTCTCAACAGTAAAAGGACTTTTCCTGCAGTTCAGCACACTTCACATCCAAAATGGACCCCAAGCCTAGCCCTTCAGTTTGAAGATACCAGTGTCCAACCTTGATTTCAACTCTTCCATCAAGGTCAGCAGACCTAGACTTTCTCTTGAAAGAGGAAGTCCCAGATCTACATAATTATTTAGTGTCCCAGAATCTACCCTGATATTTGAGGCCACAGTCTTCAAATAGTTTCTTTCCACTGTAAAAGCTAAATATATATATGCTTCTACAATGATCCAAACCATCAGACAATAAAATCAAAAGACTGTTTAAAATGTTCAGTCTTGAAAAAGAACTACAGGAATTTCTGTGTCATTTGACACACCACACTGCCAACACCTATAAGTCAAATATCTTCTTCCTCTTCAACAGGATCCACATCCTGCACCTGCTTTTTTACCTCCTCCTTTCAACACCAAGTAGAACAGGTGGAGAAATTACTGCCAAGACACACTCGGCTGTTTAAAAATAGGTGTCTAGTGTCATTTTAGAGAACTTAAAGCACACCTTACAGACCTCACAACACTGCCAGTAAATTATCTGTAGGACCTTGTCCATGTCTTTACTTCTTTACAATATCTATCACAGAACTGCAGGATGTGATAGGGAAGGACCTCTGAAGGTCACCTTGGCCACTCCCTCTGCTCAAGCAGGGACATCCAGAAGAGGTTGGCCAGGACAATATCCAGGTTCCTTTTGAACATCTCCATCGAGGGAGATCTCACAAACTCTCTGGGCAGCTTGTGCCAACGTTCTGCCACACAGAACAGAAACGTTTCTTCGTGTTCACAGGGAATCTGCTCTGTTCTGGTTTGGGTCCTTTGCCTCTTGTTCTGAGCACCACTAAAAAGACCCTTCTTTGCACCTTCCCTTCAGCTATTTATACACATTGATAAGATCCTCCTCTCCAAGCTGAACATTCTCAACTATCTCAGCTTCTGTTCATAGAGGAGATGCTCCAGCCCTTTCATTATTGATGCCTTTCGTGGACACTCTTAATTGCCTTCATGTCTCTCTTGTACTGCGGGACCTGGACCTGGACCTGTGCTCTGGGTGCAACCTCACCAGAGCAGAGTGTTGCCTCTTTTAGCCTTCTGACAATATTTTCCTAATGCAGCTCACCATACCATTAGCTTTCATTGCAGAAAAAGCAGACACATTTCTAGCTCATGTTCACCTTGGTGTCTATCAGGAAACCCAGCTTCTTTTCTGAAAAGCTGATTTCCATCTGTTTGACCTACAACAAGTACTAGTTTATTCTTCCCCAGGTGCCAGAATTTGTACTTCCCTTTGCTGAGCTGCATGAGGACAAGGTCCCTCTGGATGGCAGCATGACACTCCAGTGTTTCTGCCAGTTCTCCCAGATTTGTATCATGTGCAAACTTGCACACTCTACTCTATCATGCAAATCACTAATGAAGATGCTGAAGCGGTATTTGACCCAATATTGATCTGTGGGATACACTGTTACTAGACTCCAGCCAGACTTTGTGCCACTCATCACCACCCAGCTACTCAGACAATTTTCAGTGCAACCTCATTGTCCACTCATCCAGCCCAAATTTCATGTTTTGTCTGAGGAGACAGCATCAAAAGTGTTAGTGAGATCCAGGTAGACAATATCCACAATGAGTTGTCTTCTCATTTGCCAAACTAGTCCTTCCATCATAGAAGATTATCAAGCCAGTTAAGCAGGACTTCCTGTTTGTAAATTCATGCTCACTAATAAGTATCACTTTCTTTCCAAGAAAGAATAGTTGAATTAGTTGACCTTTCCAGAGACTAAGGTGAGGCTGACAAGCCTGTGCTTTTCTGGGTCCTCCTACTTGCCCTCTTTCGAGACTGTTTTCCTCCAGTTCTCACAAGTCTCTCTCTGTTGCCATGATCATTCAAGATAATCAATAGCAGCTTTGCAATGATATCGCACAGCTTTGTCAGCACTCGTGGATGCGTTGCTCAGGGTCTACAGACAATGTCCTTTCATTAAGTATTCCACAGCCTGGTTGTCTTCCATCAAGAGTACGTCTTACTTTCACCAGATTTTCACCTCAGCCTTGGGGATATTTAAACAAAGTCATTCCAAGGGCACTTGGTAAGCAGACACAGAAATGTTCAATGCAATGAGGAGGCTGACCACAGCACAGATCAGGGGAGTGTGAAAACACAGACCTACATTCTAACTGTTGGCTGTGCAAAAAAAACAAAGGCATTTTCAGTCACCCGTGTCTAACTCTTGGCTCCCTACTTTTTTGTTTGGGACAAAAGCAGAAGTGTTTTGGTTGTTTCCAGGTGCTGGGAATTGCACAAATCCACCAACATCTCTAACTCAGACCGTTCTGTGTCTGCATATAGCAGAATTAAGTACTTACATTTAAACAGCATAACTAGGAGAATAGTGATCGTTCTTTCCTGTCTGTCTCTTTGTTTGCTGAGTATAGCATATTTCCAGGCAAAGCTGAGAAAAAGCTCATTGCAAACTGTGGAGAGACCACCACTCTTCAAAGAAACAACTACTATAAATCCAGATCATTGCTATTTTCTGATTGGAGATTGCTGTTTCTCTGGTCTAACTACTGTTAACAAAAAAGACTGC